GGCTCGCTCAGCAAATGGGGTCAGTCCCCACTCACTCCTTCCTGCCCCCACCCCGCCCCTACTGACCTCCCCACCCCATCACACCTGCCCCCTCCTGGGCAGAGAAGGAATGTGGGGAGCCTGGGCAGCAGCCTGAGAAGAAGCAAATGAAACTTTTCATGCCTCCCTCCCACCTCTTCCTGGTAAAATCAGCCTTTTCCCACTTTTACCCCCATGGCCCCTTGTCACTGACACATGGTCACACTGACTTCTTAAAAATTTATTTGTCACCCTCTACTAAGAAACCAGAGGGCTGACAGGTAATCAGAATCTCTAGTCCACCGGCCTGGCAGGCGCTCAGTGCCCCTCACTGGAGGGCGAATGATTCTGGGACAGAACGAACGCAGCCTCGGTCTCAGTTTTTCCTTCTTTAAGCTGAAAGGAAGAGTGTGACCTCACCTTCCCCAGGGGAAGAGAAGGAACCAGGGCACATTTGGCTCTCCAGAGCAGAATTTCAGTTTGAAGAGGGAAACTCTCGGACACATGGGCCACTGTGGCTATGAGACCTGAGCCCACCCTCCTCTCTCACGCTATAGCCGGGACCTCGGAGAACGGGGGGGCGCCTTTTCCAACCTCCCAGGGCCCCGTACCCACAGGGGAGGGGCTGCCTTTCCAGCGCCAGTGGTCACGGCCACGGTTCCTCTTGGGAAGACGATTGGAAGCAGAGTACAGCCGCCAACACCGCTTCGCCAGGTGGGCCTTCCCTGCCACGCCCCAGCCTGGCATTGTGGGTGTCCTGACAGGCCACGGAGACAGCTGCCAGATGAACTCCTCACTTTGAAGCGAGGGGCCACCTGTCAGCGGCCAAGCCAGAGGTCAGAAACCGCATGTCCAAGTGCCAGTTTGGTCCACAGGGTGTCTGACTGTTATTGTTTGTTGCTGGCGTTCAGTTGCGTGATTCCATTTGTACGGACGATGCAGCAGGTAAATCCACAGAGGTGGGACGCAGATTGGTGTAACTGGGGGGCCGGGTGGAGGGGGCTGGGGAGTGAGCACTTTCAGGCGACGAAAACGTTTTGGAATTGGTTAGAGATGGCAGTCACACGACGTTGTGAATGGACTAAAGGGCACTGAATTGTCCACTTTAAAATGGGTAATTTTATGCTATGTCAATTTCACCTCGATTTTTTAAACGAAAAGAAGAAAGTTGGAAACTTCTGTCAGATTTCTGGCTTCTCTTGTGAAACCTCATCCCCACGTGGCAACCATCAGTTGGTGCAGAGCAGCGGCTGCCTGGTTGAGGACGGGGCACTTGTCCTCCATGATGCCCTTCCCCCAGGCCCTCGTCTGCATTCCTGACCCCTGCACCCACCCGCGAGGAAGCCACGAGTGAGGATCGGTGTGCTCCACCTCGAGCGGCATCTCCTCCACCCCTCCAGCCCTCTCCTTCCACTCATTCTGCTTTATTTTTGTTTCCGGTTTTCATTATTACCCAACTTACTATGTGCATCAGTTTCCTAGAGTTGTCGTGACAAATTACAAGTGGTAATTTAACTGGGGAGCTTACACAGAAGAAATTTACTCTCTCGTGGTTATGGAGACCAGAAGTCCTGAATGAAGGTGTCGGCAGGACCGCACTCCCTCCAAGGGCTCTGGGGGAAAATGCTTCCTGCCTCTTCCAGCTTCCGATGGACGGACGCAGGCATTCCTTAACGTGCGACAGCATCCCTCCAATCCCTGCCTCCGGATTCCCATGGCCTCCTTCCATCTGTCTTTATGTCTCAAACCTCCCTTTCCTCTCTCTTATAAGGACACTAGTCACTACATTTAGGGCTCATCCTAAATCCGGGGTGATCTCATCTTAAAATCCTTAACGAATTACATCTGCAAAGACTCTTTTTTTCCAAGTAAGATCATATTCACAGGGACCAGGGTTAGAACTTTGGCTTGATTGAGAGGGACACAATTCAACCCATTAGACTATGTATCTATTTACTGACTATACGACGCATGTTTTGGAAGTTCATGAGGGAGGGGACACTGTTGTTTCCATGCTGGATCCCCATCGTCTAGAACAATGCCTGGCACGTGGCTACTCACTATACACTGACAGCATGAAAGGAGGCAGCCTGTGCCTGGAATGACACCTGGCTCAAGCCAAGTCAGCCACTAGCCAGAGCTCTACATGGCTGCAGTAGGGGCCGGACAAAGAAACTTTGGGGAGGGTCAAAGGCCACCTCCCACCCCTACTGGGGTGCTGCTGTGTGTGCAGTTGTTGGACCCCGGGTTTTAACTCAATAGGAGAGTGATGCTTAACATGCAGGCACCCACCACCCACTCCAGAACCTCCTGGGGGATGCGAGTGAAGACTGCACTTTCCTGGGCCCCGCCCCAGACCTTCCGAATCAGAATCCCCGCGCTGGGGCCTGGGCGATGGCTGAGAACACCAGCGTTTGAGAACCAATGAACTCCGCTCCGTCATGGTGACCAGTGGGATTTTTCCCTTCCTGATTGTGGTCAACATCCCACATTACGTGCTGTTGGCCATGGTCACAGTCGTCAGTTCAGGTAGGCGCCCCGTAATTGGTTGGCCTGCCCCGATTTCTTCCCTCTCTAGTCTCTTTTTTGTCACCACAGTTCAAATGGAATAGACGTGGCACTATTTCTGACATCAAAGCCTAGACGGAGTGGTTTCTCCATTATCTAGAGAACGGACACTGTTGGTTCCCCATCCAAGGGCCTTCCTTTCTTATTTTGCTCTAATAGAACCCTGATTTTTCAGGTATTGAGGAAAAACCGTGCTCATGGACGGTGAGCCCTACCCCCTCCACAGGGCCCCTCCACGGGGGACTAGCTGTGATCAGTCCCATCGGTCACTGTAACACCACTGCCCTTTGCCAGCAGTTTCAGAGGAAGACAGGTGACCCAGTCCTGTCCAGTGAGACATGAGGGGCCACCTGCTGGGTGACCAGGGAAATAGACACAAGGACAAGTGACGACCAGTGTATTCCTGGCCCTGATAAAAAGAGAGAAAAGAAAGGGAAAATTTTGCACCTCCCCCCGTAGCAGATGCCTCTGGTCCTTGCGGTACAGCCCTGAGCCCGCCTTGACCTCAGCCGCAGGCCTGGGGGACATCTTAGCTATGGCTCTGATCACCTCCCCCTTACCCCATAGGGGAGGGAGGGATCCCCATCCTGGGGCTATGGGAACAGCCGAACACCTGACACCCAACGCCGGACAGATGAGACCGACCGCAGTGCACTAGTCAGTCATCTGCGCTCTCTGCCAGGGGAGAAGGACCCCGCACACTGTTTGGGTCACGTGGGGCTGCACTGGGAACAGAGAGAAGAAGTAGGGCCCTATAGTAACAAGAGGGTATGGTGGCCCGGTTCTCACAGGAGATGCGATGAATTATGTGAATAATTCTGTGGGCTGGCAGGAAACCGAAGGCCATACTCAGGGACGAGCAGAAATAATGCCTGGTCCTGTGATCAGCAGGGTGCTTGGGCGAGGGGACCTTATCTGTGAGAGCAAAGCGAGGGGGGAATTCGCCCTCCCGGGCTCAGACATGGAGGCAGCACATGCTCCTGGGCCTGACTCTCAGGCCTTCCACAGTGATGGGCATTCGTAGCCGCTCCTCCTCCCCCGAGCTGACCCCATCCCGCCTCAAGCCCACACGCTAAGCCTCTTGCTTGCCACATTTTTGCCTTTGAGTCTTCTCCTGCGCTGCTCCCTGACACGCCACGCCCCCTCATCCTCAACCCTCTCAGCCACCGGGGACAGGAGCAGGGGAGGGGGACTCCAGGAGCCTCGTCTTCCAGGTGGGCGCCCTGACCACGCTCTGTGCACTTATCAGTCCATCCCGGCTGAACTCGGCCCCTGGTGCCCGGCGCGGCTCAGTGACACGCCTGCGCCCTGGCCTGTCCAGCTTCCCTGTGTCACGGGTTCCAGACTCTCACTTCCACTTCCTGGATCGGCTCCCAAATAAATGATATCAGGCTCTGCTTTTCGAGAAACCCAACATAAGACACCCTTTCTATACCCGGACACAGGTTTATGAGGAAGCGACGTCTTGTGCTTCAAGAGGACAAAGCTAAGGGTAAAAGCCGGTTTGCAGAGGATGGCGCAGTAGAAACGAGAAGACATGGGAGTCATTGGT